GTCTAAAAGAAATGATTCCACATTACTTTCAAATTGTCCCCTAAAAGCCGCTATATTAGATAAGTGGGGTCTGGTATTGATCACAGTCAGTCTCCAGGGACCCCCTGGTCGTGGAGAGGGGGCATGTGTAGCGTCACAGTCCTCCATAACAGCGGGACATCGCCATGCCACACGTAATTCAATTGAATGCGTCACATTTGATTAAATTTTGTACAAAGCATCATTTGACATGGGCTGTCCAGAAAAGGCCAGAACGTTAACAATGGAGCATAGTTCCTGATGTCATGTTCCTGTCTCACTGCTATACTGTGAGTAGTGCAGATTATACAGGCGTGGGGTGGATGTCTTGAATAGCGTACTGTAACTGTGAGTTCATGAAGGCCCTGTAGTATCATACTAAATTGTGGAGCTGATAGAGGCCCTGTAGTACCATACTATATCGGGAAGGTGAAAGAGGTCCTGTAGTACCATACTACATCGGGGATGTGAAAGAGGCCCTGTACTACCATTCTACATTGGGTAGATGATAGGGGAGGTGATAGACTATAGTGTGTGTGTGTGTAGTACCATACTACATCGGGGAGGTGATAGAGGCCCTGTAGTACCATACTACATCGGGGAGGTGATAGAGGCCCTGTACTACCATACTACATCGGGGAGGTGATAGAGGCCCTTTAGTACCATACTACATCGGGTAGATGATAGAGGCCCTGTAGTACCATACTACATCGGGTAGATGATAGAGGCCCTGTAGTACCATACTACATGGGGGGGGGAGGTGATAGAGGCCCTGTAGTACCATACTACATCGGGGGAGGTGATAGAGGCCCTGTAGTACCATACTACATCGGGGAGGTGATAGAGGCCCTGTTGTACCATACTACATCGGGGAGGTAGAGGCCCTGTAGTACCATACTACATCGGGGAGGTGATAGAGGCCCTGTAGTACCATACTACATCGGGGAGGTGATAGAGGCCCTGTAGTACCATACTACATCGGGGAGGTGATAGAGGCCCTGTAGTACCATACTACATCGGGGGAGGTGATAGAGGCCCTGTAGTACCATACTACATCGGGGAGGTGATAGAGGCCCTGTAGTACCATACTACATCGGGGAGGTGATAGAGGCCCTGTAGTACCATACTACATCGGGGAGGTGATAGAGGCCCTGTAGTACCATACTACATCGGGGAGGTGATAGAGGCCCTGTACTACCATACTACATCGGGGAGGTGATAGAGGCCCTGTAGTACCATACTACATCGGGGAGGTGATAGAGGCCCTGTAGTACCATACTACATCGGGGAGGTGATAGAGGCCCTGTAGTACCATACTACATCGGGGAGGTGATAGAGGCCCTGTAGTACCATACTACATCGGGGAGGTGATAGAGGCCCTGTAGTACCATACTACATCGGGGAGGTGATAGAGGCCCTGTAGTACCATACTACATCGGGGAGGTGATAGAGGCCCTGTAGTACCATACTACATCGGGGAGGTGATAGAGGCCCTGTAGTACCATACTACATCGGGGAGGTGATAGAGGCCCTGTAGTACCATACTACATCGGGGAGGTGATAGAGGCCCTGTAGTACCATACTACATCGGGGAGGTGATAGAGGCCCTGTAGTACCATACTACATCAGGGGGAGGTGATAGAGGCCCTGTAGTACCATACTACATCGGGGGGGAGGTGATAGAGGCCCTGTAGTACCATACTACATCGGGGAGGTGATAGAGGCCCTGTAGTACCATACTACATCGGGGAGGTGATAGAGGCCCTGTAGTACCATACTACATCGGGGAGGTGATAGAGGCCCTGTAGTACCATACTATATCGGGGAGGTGATAGAGGCCCTGTAGTACCATACTACATCGGGAGGTGATAGAGGCCCTGTAGTGCCATACTACATCGGGGAGGTGATAGAGGCCCTGTAGTACCATACTACATCGGGGAGGTGAAAGAGGCCCTGTAGTACCATACTACATCGGGGAGGTGATAGAGGCCCTGTAGTACCATACTACGTCGTGGATGTAATAGAGGCCCTACCATACTACATCAAGGTCCCAATATATCAGCAATAGATAGATACAGAGATCATACTGTGTCAAGAAACTTTTGTGAAATGATATACTTCAGTCTGTATCAGAATTACGAACGTGAAAGCATGATTCTTACTTGTATTTCAAGGACCCATGTTCTATATCGTCTTAACTTGACACGTCCAAATTAATTAACGAATTGTTTTTGGTCCACTTTCGGTATGAAATTTCATAGATGTTATGTGTGCGTCCTCAGATGGAAGAATACAATGATGAATAGCATATAGTGTATGCCTCTTGCATATGACGCAGTGCAGTACCGTGACAAGAGCTGTATTCAGATGGTACACATCAGCTTATCTCACACACACACACACACACACACACACACACACACACACACACACACACACACACACACACACACACACACACCCCCACCCCCACCCCATCACCACACACACACACACACCATGAATTTGCTGATGACCTTATCGGTAAGGAAAGTATTCATATAGAAGAGCTTCTTTCCCAAACCCGCCAGTTTTGAGAATTCAGATACTGAATTTCCCTCTTTGGCATCGTGGTGCATTATTTACAACAGCTGAGGCAAAAAGTCTCAGGTAGAAAATTTCAACAAAAAGTTGGAGAGCTTAAAATTTAGTGACAGGACTTGCCTTGTACGTTCTGTGACGACATGTCCACCGCCTCACCATGCTCAGACCTATTATCTGTAGAACTCTCTGACGTCACAGTAGTGATGTGTAGCAGAAGAAACATTTCGTCAGTCCCTCAATTCCATGTATTCACATGTCCGTTGGAATAATACTTATCCGATTTTACTGAGTTTCGGTGAATTGGTTCAAGCAGTATGCTGAATGTGGTTTGAATGCATTAGGTTTGATCTTCACTAATAAGTAAATTCTCTATTTCAACTTAAGGAAAAGATTCGGTTTAACCGATGCCATATCATTTCCGTTACAACAAAGGAAGATGGCATCAGTTTTGTCAATCTGTCTTGGTTAAATGGCAAACCTGTAAATATTTCAAATTCTAAATCTCACGCAATTGCGTTTACGTATCGAATGTACGTTCGCTCTATATCAAAAACACATTAACTTCAGCTCATAATTACAATTGAGTGATCTCGAGACGGCTGCATTAATATATAACTGCAATTTGTCATCTGAGGACGGCTATATTTTAATCTAATTGCTCCCTGTTCCCCGGAGACGGCTCAGTTATATGCCATTGCAATGTGTCATCGCACTACTGGTACATTTATATCTCATTGCATTCTGTAACCTGAAGACGCCTACGTTTATATAGCATGCAGATATCGATGTCTCGTTATTTATTAATGTCGTTTAGGAAAATGTGATTTCATGTTTTGCGACAGCTTATATTAATACCTTCTCGCTCAATTTACAGATTTAATCGATAAATGGAATCGGCGATGAAAACCTCTGGTACATATAAATCAACATGTGCATGTTGTCCAAAATGTATTCACTTACATCATACACTTACCACACCTCACACCCCCACCCCACACTCCCTCTCCAATTAAATATTTTTAAGGGGGTGACAACCATTATTGGCATGAGTATATATTCGTTCGAATTGAATAACAAGCCTCTGCTGTGAACAATATCTTGGTTAAAGTTGGAAATCGAAATATACTCTCTTGTTTTCGGATCTGAGTTAATTGGGAAGAGGGGCGTAATGACTCTAAAGACCACGCAGAATCGACACTTGTATGACGAGGAATATGCGTGTTTTGCTACTCGACACGTGGAGTCAGTGCAGGCAGCTATAGAGACTGAATGGGCTTCATGAAGAACGGCGTCATTTCACAGGAATAAACGTTGTTGTATGATGACAAGTATGAGGTGGGAGAGTAATACATCACGATTAACACTAGTGTTTACGGGGATATTGGAGAATGTGTCAGGACTGAAGTGCAATGCTTCAATAGTCTTGCAGCCTTACAAAGGCTGTGTGTGTATATCCACACTCTGAGTAATGCGCCAGAATGGTCAACCAACCGTGTAGGTTCAACCACATAATTCTGTAACAGACCTGATTTGACGATCACTGAAGAAGACAATATTCTGGGAAGGAACTGAGATATTTCTGTAGTTGCTGCATTCCAGGAATAGTAATAGGTTGGAATATTACCATAAAATATACTCATGCCAATAATGGTTGTCACCCCGTTCAATTTTTTTAATTGGAGAGGGGGTGTGGGGGTGGGGTGTGAGGTGTGTGTGGGGTTGGGGTGGGGAGGGGGGTGACAACCATTATTGGCATGAGTATATTATTCCACAAGCACAATTTTTCCGAGGAACAAATGAGGAAACAGAATACACGCTTTAAAGAAATATTACAATGCAAGTGTGATTTTATAGAAAAAAAGAATATTAAATGTTTATGATATTCTATCACCAAATTGGGTTGTGAATTTGATGTTAGGGTATTTGTGTAACTCCGTCAACAGTTTCTAATGGTGTGTGCATTTAGCCGGCCACTTAGCCCTCTCATCCCCTGGCTGATCGTCTGGCTATCAAACTGCCTTTATTGTTCCTCATTACGTCCGGGAAATACTTCAAGTGGATTTGGTTAGCGACAAGCAATCTCAGGAGATAGGAGTCGATATTCCCGTAAAAATAGCCATTCGTGTCTGTGAATAGAGAAGTATTCACCCATTTGTTACCAGTGCTTCCTGCTACTGAGTTGATTAGCCCCCCATCCCAAACACACACCTCCCTTGCGAGAGACCCCTCCCCACCTGCTTTGCCCCACCCCCACCAGCCTCGCCCCACCCCTGCCGCAGGCCGCTACTCTATTTGCGCTTGTCACTTCTGGATTCTGCCCCAACCAATGGGAGCTCGCTTACCGCACAGCCTCAAACACTTCAATTAATTTGTTAATACGATTCCTTTTCGCAGCCATGTTAAGCGATTGCCTGCGTGTCGGACGGATTATATTGTGAGAGCGTCTCAGACACTACCCGCCTACCCAACCCGGCACCCGAAAACTGCCGGTAATTTGTGTAGAAACTTTGTCTCATCTTTGTCGACCATCTCCTGTTCGTATAGTCCTCCCACGGGCGCGAGCTCCAGACGGGAGCGGGGATTTTACAGGGACTTCGTAGAACTTTACACCTGTGATGGAGTTTCCGTGTTTCAGCGAATCTGTGAAGAGGGACTTTGAATCTCAGTGTGGTCAAGCCATGCCGAACACTGGCTATCTAGCTTCTATCACACAGTCGACAAAGCAGATGGGAAGCGCCGGTGGTCAGTACAGCGACAACGACAGCGTCGACGACGAATATGTTAGTGTCGGCCACCCTGCCTCCAGAGATCGGGTCAAGGAACAAGACTTAGAGGGGGACTATGAAGGTAAAAACGATGACGATGACGGTGGTGCCTGGAGCGATGACAGCTCGTCGTCCAAGCGTGGTGAAGATGGAGACTTGCCGGAGGGATATTCGGAAAGGGACCTTCTCGGGAAAGTACGGACGAGGAAGACGAAGTCTGGGGAAACAAAGGTCGTCCGTCTCAACATCAACGCCAGAGAGAGACGTCGCATGCACGATCTTAACGACGCGCTTGACGAACTGCGTTCAGTTATACCCTACGCTCACAGTCCGTCCGTGAGAAAACTTTCCAAAATAGCCACTTTGTTGCTGGCTAAGAACTATATACTTATGCAAGCGAACGCTCTTGAAGAGATGAGAAGAATGATCGCATGCATGAACCAGAGTGCCCCGTGTTTCGATGCCTACTCTGCCTTCCCGAGACTACCGCCTACAGCCGTAGGCATGGATAAGTGTGCCCCTGTGTACCCACCACCCCCGGGTTCCCCACCTTGCAAACACTGCACCAATGACAAGGTGTGACCCACACAAGTGGCGGACAGACAACTAGGCAGAACTTACTGCCGGTACCCCCGGGATCTGTTGTGGGTGCGGGACGTGTGGTCTCCCACCCTCACTCTGAACTAACTGTAAGGGTACGTATTGCAAGGTACCAAAATGTCGATCAAGTTAATCTGGCAACAACGTCAACAGTGATGAGGATGGCACCCGGATGTAGGTAGAGATAGAGAAGTCGGGTAGAACTGTAGAAGACCAGGGTCACCACACCCTCAACTAACACTGCCCCATGGTCAGTGTCGCCATGGAAACAATTGCTCAGTGCTGTTACGTCCTCCTCCCTGTGACAAATAATGTGACAATGTGGTAAAGATTAAGGTGTGACACAGACATTTGCACGTGACATTTCCATGGATATAAATGCTCAGTAGACAACGTCTGTGAGAGATTGTGTTTTGTGTAAGTAAAATAAATGGAAAATACACTCCTATGATGTTAGTTTATTTTTCTTTCATGTTCTTGTATGTGATTATGTTCGGGAGACAAGTGAGGTCATCGACACTGAGTGATGTTGTCGGTTTGTCGACGCTAGTAACAGATAAAGACTGAATATTCATCCTGTAATTTCCGTAACACGTTGATAAATTATTCATTTAGATCCATATTTGTGGATTATGTTTCACTTTCATCAAGATAAAGATAATCCCTATCTTCATAAAATTGATATTTGTCAGTGCGTGAGGAGAGATCAAATGTGTTTTATTTGTTAAATTAAAACTGATTCGTTTTATATTCTACTAAAAGGGACATGTGATGATGGATCTAATTTTATTTGTGTTGCGGTTAGAAACACTTTATATGTTAGATGTATTTAATTCAAATCTAGATGTATAATCTTTAGCATGATAATATGTTAAGAAAAATGCATAAACAATTACGACAATGATACAAGTAAATTGTATTTTTCGACTATGGTTTATATATCGTGTGATACTTATGAATATTTACCACAACCACGATCTCAGTGATCACAACTTGCAGAATTTCTGCTCGAGTTTGGAAAGTGACATGAAATTACATTTGCCTATACCTGGTATTATCAATACTTCATGGCATTAATGTCATGCTGCTCAGATTATTGTTAAATACTTATTCTCAAAAAGTTGTAAGGCTGCCATATATTTCTCGTCACTGCGAACTTCATTGTCTGGGACAGCAGGTGGTTGGTGACGTTGTGTTGTACCTGACATCAACGTGTACCACGGTTTAACTTGTCACACCTAATGTAGTGGCGTCAACCCGGTTGTCAGTTGTACAGTGCTTCATGAGTAGGTCTATGTATGTCACATCATGCAGCCAGTTTCATTGTTCATATTGAGGTTCTAGTTGCTTGACAATATATGGAACTACACCTACAACATGCCAGATTTGTGTCGCAAAATCAAACGATACTATCGTTATTGGATTAAGATATTTATCTATGATGAGAGAATTACGGTTTGAATATATGTTTGAAGATTCCAATGCGCGCTCACTCACACACACACACTTACAAACAGTAGACAGAAGACACCAGAAAACTGTCTTGCAGTCTCAAAATTCTGTATTCTCATATTCTCCACTTTTTTCAGGTAGCTTGTTCTCTAACGCCGCACTCAGCAATATTTCAGCTAAATGGCGGTGTCCACCTCTTAGTTGATTTACGATATCGTGGAGAAACATGTTCGATTGAACTGTCTTAACTATTTAAATCGCTAGCTAACTGATAATTCCTTATTATTTCCATTAGTGTCAAAGTTAAACTCATTCCAACAGAGGAATCTAAGTTTGATCATGACATATCTTTGTCTGTTTTTCCCATCCGTGTAATATGGCAATAGTACTCATGCCGTACTGTGAGTGACGTTTAGTTTCACTTAATGTTTGAGTACATTCAAAACCATTTTAACAAACGCCCTTACTAATAAATCCCTGGATCTATTTGATTAAAATCCAACAATGCAAAATAATCAAACACTAACAACACTTGAAAGATAAAATGCAAACAACACTAGAAATATAAAGCACTATATTGTTGCTCGAGCCTACATACTGACATCTTGCAGGCTGACGAATAAAGCACAGTCTATCATATGCAATCAGTATGCTAAAACAATCAGCACACTGTACCTATATTAGTAAACTAAAGACAGTCAATGTAGATGCTTCCACGAAGAACAATACTCAGTATCACAATGAATTTAGCCGACAATTATATAAACAACATTTCCATTCAGTACACATAACTTTAGCTTGAAAGAAGGATAGCGTCCAACTAACAAAAAAAGCAACATTATTTCGACACTAATTCATTTACCTGTTCTAATTAATTTTTAAAAACACAAATCACATCTTAGAAAGAAATTTATCTAATATATTGTATGTCCTTAAATGCAATATAATTTATTACATACAATATTCTCATTGATAATACACAGAAAATTCACACTGAGATAGTCCTTTACTTGTGAGGAAATGGCTTCTAACACCGGCGTAAGCAGTCTGGTTAAAGAAAGCATACGCCTGATTGGATTTGAAATAACAATTACACACATTATAAAAACCGTTATTGGACAGAAACATTGGAAACGCTGCAGTTGTAATTCCCAAACCACAACAATGATACCCCTAACGAATACATCGCCATCGAATATCCATTTTGTTTCAAGTTTAAAATGTACATTTATTTCCTATTGCACGTGTGTTTATTAAACATAGTGGTCGAATGGCACCAAGGCAGCGAACGTTTATTTAACCTGATCGCGCTCAGAACTTTCATATCTGTGCTCAATATCCTCCATGTGAAAACAACTGGGTAGAACTGGACAATGTCCGTGTCCTTTCCAGTAAAGCTATCTGGAGGATAGGGGAGACGTGTGGGAGAACACAGATATGTGTTCGTTGATAACACAAACCACAACTTTCTCAATCAGACTGTGTTAAAGGAAAGGACAGACAGACTGTTAATTCATTGAAGCGTCACATGTTAGTGCTTTGTACCTACTATTATTTAGTATTTCTTAGTAGGATATATCCCCAATACATAAATATTTACGACTTTAAAATACGTATTGTGCAGATTTTAGTCTGTTTACACAAGGCAGCATGTTAGCCTATCGTCCAGGAAGCAGATGACGGTATCGAATCTTTCACACGATCATGTGTGTCTGTGCGTCTAACAAAGCTGTTTGTTCAACACAGATCATCTCCCCGAACAATAGGAGACCGACCAACAGATTTGCACAAAACCAATGTTGGCAACCAGTTTCCGTTTACCATCAATAAGTTTAACAATGTCACATGAAAAGACCTTGCCGCAAGTGTCCGACGACAGATGTATCATGCGAAACATATTCATGGTACATATAATACACACTGTTTGGTTTAGGCCTGGGATTGACGGAGCATTCTATCTTATCGGAGTCGCTTGCTGTGGTAGCAATATGGGACACATAGGCGGATCCAGAGGTGGGGTGCAGGGGTGCACACACCCCTTTTTTGTCCAGAAAGTTTGTTAAATGACCATTGAAACTCGGGTGGAAATGAAGTGTGCACCCCCACCCCACTTTCTCAATAGTGTGACGACAACATCCTCCCCTCTCAAAAAGCTGCATCCGCCCCTGGGTCAGTCCGATCAAGAGACCTTTCACAATGTCGATTTCTGCATATCTGTTTTGACTGGGATATCATTTTAAAATGTATTGTAAATGTATGTAACGTAAAGATGAGATTTATGACGTAAATGGCATTGGAACAATGAATGTTATTGTGTTGCAATAACGTTTCAGTGGAAACGCAGAATATATCCAACTTGAGTTAATTATTAAGGTTTTTAAAATTATTTTTCTCATATTCAAAGTAAGGAGGATATTCACAAATGCCAGTGTAAATGATAAATTAAATAATGGATAAGGTATGAAAGATATTTTGCATATCTAAAATAACAATAACAGTTTGGTCGGAAGCCAGGTTGATATCAGTATCATTGATATAGTGTTATTGATCATATAATCAGGAATTATTCATATAAAATGGTTTTACCATGAGCTGTATAGTGTAGTGGATATGTATAATACAAAAACCTGTGATATCCGCTATACCTCCACCAGCCAGGACACCATCCGACAGGCTGATATAAGCAGCAGGTTTCCCCTCCCTGTCAACGTACTGCACGAAGGATGAGTAGGGGGGAAACGAATCCTTGTATATGATGATGGATTTCACACCTCACCTTCTCTAAAAGGATGAAGACATCTCATGCTTGTAAGCCGAGCGTAGTGATTAGCCAAGGCTGTTAATAACTGAACAGACCACTGGACAAGGAATTGTGTGTTTCAATAAGCTTACTGGACATCAAAGGTTATTACTGGCATAACAAATAAAGTATTTATTTCCGTGAATAGACTTTACGTGTATCATAGGTTTCCAACTGAAAAGTTTAACAGAATAATCACCTTCTAATAATGTAGTGCTACTTCATACGATGAAGGGTGCAATTTTCATTTTCGTATGAAAGATATTCTGAATTATATTTTAACTTTGCTAAATGTCAATAATTTAGAAACGATATGAAATGTAATAACGAATTGTTGTTTTTATATAATTATTCTTGTCGACCCACCGCTTTCTCGTTAATAAATATATATCACCTCAGATATCACTAATCATCATCGCATTGTGTTTATCCATCTCACATTTAATCAACGGTCCTAGATAGTTGACATGACATGTCTCCATTTACCAAGGAATTCTACTGACAGAACACTGAACCATGTAATGCCTAAGTTTCAATGTTTTATCAGTAAAATAATATTTTATGTGTTGATTTTGAAAAAACCCAACATGAAATGAATATCAAAAACTGTCTGAAATATATTATAATAAACATAACTCTTGCTTCTGTACGAAAGTCATTGCAACTGTTGTTTGTCAGATCAGTGAACAGTTTTGGAATCGAGTTATAGTTTATTCAAACTACGAAACTCAGCCGGGAGCAAGAACATCACTATATAGATACATGAATGCTTCTCGGTAACTGCAAATAAATGATATTGGTTGAAACCTGCATTTTGACAGCACCACATGTAGAGTCTGGAGAAGCGTGAACGTGTACCCGTGACGCGTGGTACCCCATCACTACATGTAGAGTCTGGAGAAGCGTGAACGTGTACCCGTGACGCGTGGTACCCCATCACCACATGTAGAGTCTGGAGAAGCGTGAACGTGTACCCGTGACGCGTGGTACCCCATCACCACATGTAGAGTCTGGAGAAGCGTGAACGTGTACCCGTGACGCGTGGTACCCCATCACCACATGTAGAGTCTGGAGAAGCGTGAACGTGTACCCGTGACGCGTGGTGGTACCCCATCACCACATGTAGAGTCTGGAGAAGCGTGAACGTGTACCCGTGACGCGTGGTACCCCATCACTACATGTAGAGTCTGGAGAAG